ATTTCGATTTGGCATACAAGACGAAAGGATCTTTTAGACCACGTCATTCGTCATTCATAGCCATCAGGACGACGACCGAGATGAAGGCGATTGTATGAAGGACGGGTCTTCTCAAGCCAGAAACGTGTATAACAAAGTAACTGTCACCGTTGCCGTGAATGGAAACCGTCAATTCCTCCCAGCACCGTCGCGCGACGTTGAGGATCGTGCGATATTTATAATGCCGGCGTTGCAAAATTAATGATACAACCGGTATAACCTGGGCTATAACTGCCAGCGACTGGACGATATAGCAATTAGCATAATCACGTACATTGAGGACACACTTATAAAGAAAGTTCGTTAATGAATGTTATATCACGTGGATTAAAAATTCTGAAAATAGCAAAAAGCGTTGCTTCTAAAAATCAGAATATTAGAAATATTTGCAATAATATATAGTCTGACGATTAAACGTAAACAATGAGAATACGCATTTGCCCATAAATTTACGAATTACTAATAATTGTCCTTCCGTGCAGAGAAGCTGTTAATATACTTGATAAAATATACTTGAATAGGAATTTTTAATTGATCATACCTATATTTTGTATTCTCTTTTAATTACAAAGTTACTATTCATACATATAAGTTTTTGTAATTAAGACAAGAACACACGTACACATAATTCCTTGAGAAGTTTTTATAAAAAGTTCTTTATTTCTTGTTTCTTGTATCTCGCAAAATAACTTTTTTCAATTATACATATTTATTTCATACAATTATATATTATGTGGAATCGAAGAAAAAAATACTTTCTATAACATTTTCTGGCTCGTGCTTTATCCGAGAGTCTTTAAAAATTGTTAACGTGAGATTATAAAAAGAATTATTATTCTGTTACTGAAGTCAAGAAATTTTCATATATGTAAAATATCATTATTTTGCTCTTACAGCTTATTCTCTTCCTGTGTTTTATTTTTTTTATTACGTGAGAATACAGACAGATAATATTTTATTCGCAGCATGCAATACATATGCGAAGAGAGAGAGAATAAAGAAGCGGTTGAACTGGCGCTTAGCTATATCGATCGTCGCGATGCCCGGTAACATCATCGTACAGCACAACTGACGGAGCGACCCGTTAATAAGCCCGATTGAAATTTCATGTCGCACATCCAAAAATACACTCACGGAGTGATACGCGGAGCGACGAATGAGCGTTTCCTCCGTCCCGATCCCGATAATTGCTTCCGGCGAGGTTCGCCGATCGATCGCCGCCGGGCGCTATATCGGGCCGCGCGATCGAGCAAATTATTCCGGAACGAGGTCGCGAATCTCGCCTGCCGTCTTAACGTTTAATAAGCCGGACGTATTTTCCCGCACGGCTAGAAGTGCACGTGGCTATTGAAACCTTATCACCATGTTATGAAAATAGCGTAGAAAAGTGCGGAGAGAGATATAATTAAGGCTGTACAACGACGAAACTATATCATTTATGTGACATTATATAAAGTCTCTCGCATCTCTCACAATTTTTTTAAATTAACTTTTTAATGAAAGCTCTCTAATTTGCAATTTACAACTTACGTCACAGTTTGATTATCGTTAAAGGAAAATATACAGTTGCAATTGATTACAATGTGAACTAATGCGAGTCATTGCACTTGACGAAAACCGTAGATGCATAAATCGCTTCCCCACTATTATACTTCCTACCCGTACTTGCAGTCGAACCCGATAGCACTCAATCCCCTCCGAGCTTTTTTTCGCTTTTCCCGCAGTTTCCCCGGTTGGTGAATTTTGGTTATTCATTGCCCGAGTACGGAGATCCTGCGGCGCGTCCGACACGATATGGGAGGATCGCATCTTGCTCCGTGAAGGACCGAACCGTACTTGTCGCGAAAAAAAAAGGAACAGTGCCTCTTGGTAACAACAATACCGAGATTGGCACGATTCCGCCGATCGATCGAAACCTCGAATGTCATTATTATAAATGTTACGGCCACAGGCTAATTCGTTTAATTTCATTACGTTTTTGTTGTACTTACTATTATGAACTACGTTCTAAAACTTTTTTATATATTAAAAGAATTAACATTCTTGAAATAAAAGAATGCGTTAATTTTTTTGAAAATTGAGATTAAAAATTAATGTATCTAAAGTAAACTTTGAATTAAAGTAGTCAAGAATGAAAAGATTTTAAGAATCCTGATGAAATTGGAAGATCGTTAACTTTCACAAAGAATCGGGGAATATAAAAATTAAAAATCCCAGAATTCTTCAGAATTCTTAAGAGTACAAAGCTAAGAAGATACTTACCTATTCAGGAATTTAAGAATTTATGAGTTTTATATTCTTATAATTGAAAAATTATAAAACTTTTAAAATTTAAGAATTCCGAAAATGGTTATAATAATATACACACCATTCTAATTGTTCAGAGATATTCAATATATTTTAAAGATTCAAATCTCTCTCTCTCTCTCTCTCTCTCTCTTTCTTTCCTTCCCAAATAAAAAGAAAATGTCGGAAATCAGCTGACGAACAAGCAATTGATAGAATGGAAACGGTAGAATGGAATAGATTGCGAAAATTAATTAGACATGAATGACCGGTGAATCGGTGATGAAGATCGTTAAATGATTTGATTTCCGGCTGGCTCCGTCATTGACAGATTTCAATAATTGCCATTTGCCAGCGATTAAATAAAACATGAGCTCCGGAGCCATGCCAAACTATTTTCACCGATTATTATTATGCACGGCGAATCGATAACATTTTAATATTACTTTGGACACAGATACCAGCAGCTTTCTTGGGGTGAAATCAATAAAGATGCCGCGACCCAATTAATCTGTTGCGTGTTCGTGTAATTGACGGGTAAATTTGTACTAATCGATTAGTGAGCAAATTACTTTACTTTTTGAATGTTGAACGACTGTTATTATTCTCCTAATTGCCTATTATGTGGATTAACAGATATTTTTTGTATTTGTTAAAATATTTAACAAAAAATTATTTAATACTGCATAAGTTGCTTTTAACGTACTGAATTAAAAATTAATATTCTTTTCATAATATTTTCCATATAATTAACTATTTAAATGAGAAAAAAATCAATTTTGATGCAATTAAAGTTTTATATTGAATTAGGATTCGTGTTTTACTAAGTTCTCCTTCGTGTACTTGATTTGTTATATTTATATCAGAGGTTTCTTCTTTGATTGAAAAGTTAACTTTCCTTACGATTCATGTCATACCTAATATGTATGCGCAATTCTTTGTCGCCTCGTTCAACCTGTATTCACGTAAGAGTCGAATTGCTAGCTTTAAGCAAACAAAACACCGTTGATTTAATGTCGTGTGTTTAAGTTTCGGGTTATAGCCACGCTCCAATAACTATATTCGCTGGAAAAGCCTCGCCGCGCTGAGGCTCGCTAAACGAGGATGTAACGATATCATTCTCGCGGATCGATCCGCACGCTCGATTCCGTCGCCAAGTGTAAAGACGGCACAGAGCAGAGGACAACGCCCGTGTATACGCTCGCGGAAGCGTTTCGCTCGCCTAATCGAAACCTTCTGAATAAATCAACGACCGGAGAGTGCATCAAACCGGCCGGCGCGGCGTGGAGGAAAGTTACGCGCTGCCATAAGCAGCGCGAGCGCGATCGGTCGCAGCCCGCGAACTTCGGGATAAGAAAGACGTGAATCGCGGCTGATGAATAAGTCAGGCTGACCATAGCCGAGTTGACCGTTGACAACGAACTTTAACAGGAAATAATGCACCCCGCAAATAACGACCGGCTCTTGATCATGCGACCCGGCCACGTTGCGATGTGGGAAAAAGTTGTGCGGTTGCCGACTCGAGAAAATCCAGCGCGCGAGGAGAAACTTACCATTCTATATTTATACCATTTTCTAAGAGAAACGTGTATAACCTTTCATAGATTTTAATTCATGTTAATTTATCTTGATTGGATCTTGTGTTATGATATATTTTTTTTTTCAGATAACGCATTTACAATTGTTATGTTTGCAATTGTCATTTTAGCGCGTTAATAGTTAATAATTAATCACTGTATTTATAAAAATAAATAATACAGACTGTCTCACTCATTGATTTCGAGGCTAATAAATTATATAGAACAAATTAGTCTGCTTTACTTGAAACTGTTGGAAATTTCCGAGGTATATTTTCGGCTCGAAACGTTTAAAATTGCCATTTAGTTTCCTTTATATAAAAGTCCTCGATGTCGATGTCGATGTCGAAGGTAATTCTCGATAAAGGTTTCTCTCTCTCGTGGACATTTGTTGACGCAAATTTCCGTTCCCATCCAGTCGATCGTCGAATCAGTCGAACACGAGTCATTCGAATGGAAACTTATAACCGCGATGTAGGAATAATTTTCAATAAATAATGACCCGACAGAGTCATTAAACTCCGTGGGTAACTTTGTTTCGTATCTCCGGTGCATATTGCATGCCGCGCTCGACCGTCTCGCGGATGAAGGGGGAAAAAAACATCACTGTACGGGAAATTACGAACGGGAAAAACGTTGCCGACGATCGAAGAACGCAACTTTTATGAAGGAACGACCAATCTGCTCCGCATATTAAATAGCCGCTGGGCTATACATACCGCGGCGATATGTTCTCTCGATAGCGACAAACTCTCCGTTGATGACTTAATGTCGCGAAAGTTAGTCGTGTGGATTTCAATCCTCAGAATTGTGCGGCTTTATTTGACGACTATACATTTCAAATACTGAATACAATTATTATTTGCTTTTATAGCTCACAAAATCAGTCATGAATTAATCACAAACATAATGTTGTAATTGGAAAGCGAATTATATTTTACCTGTGCTTGTATAATGAGCGACTGAACAATGTCACTGTTAACAGTAGAATGCAAGCGTAATGTAAATTAATTTAAGAATACATTTATTTCGTTATTAAATACAGAAAAAAAAATTGTATTTGACAGATTTTTTTTATATGTTTTTTACGTGTTCCAGGATCTGAAAACGGTCGTGCATCAGCCGAGAGCGACGAAGAGGTCGTCGGAGCTGCGGGTTCCGGCGAGGGTCACGACGTTTCTGACGGTGTCGTCAGCGGGGTCGGCAATGCCGCCCCAAGCCCTAGCAGGCCCTTAGAGAACGGACAGAACTCGTCGGCATCGGGTGCCGGTGGCAACAAAGCTCGCCGGCGACGTACCGCGTTCACTTCGGAACAGCTGCTCGAACTGGAGCGCGAATTCCACGCCAAGAAGTACCTGAGCCTAACAGAACGCTCGCACATAGCGCACGCGTTGAAGCTGTCGGAGGTGCAGGTCAGTGCCAGACCAAAGCGATAATCGATGAGCTGTACAGTTAGAGCTTAATGTCGAGGGATGAATTATAATTTAAAATCGTTAGAATGTAAGATAAATCAAGATTCAAGTCAGATCTTGAAAATAACCAAATTTTGTAATCCCGAAAGAGATTTAATTTTTATAAAAATATTAAAATTTATTATAATCAATCAATTTTAATATTAAAACTACCAAAACAGTAAAAATAATTTATTATGTTTTTTAATTACTTAAATTTAGAAAATGCTTTTTCAGAAGATTTTCCATGATTTTTATAGCAATATGTAAATGATTAAATTTATCTGTTTTTATAATCCTCCGTCTATACACGTGGGTCTACGGCGTTTGAGCCAAAATAATATCTGCTTGTAACTGTAAAACTTAAAGCCTGATGCTAGAAAATATTAAATAAACGATGTTTATCAAAATGACTATACAATCGTCAACTTCAATATAGACAGATGTTTTGTGAATTCTTTCGAACTTTTTAAAATACTTTAAGATAGGGAAAAATAGCGTCAAACGTGACAGACCCACGTATGCACTAAAAGGTACCAATTTTATATAATCTATATATCCTTAATTGGCTACATGGAGCGACTCAATATGGGAATAGGGTGGTCTATGATGACTACTCTACAAATAATCAAAAAATATGAGGGACGGTACTTTGTTATGTATCGCTAATTGCTATGAATCCACGGACTTCTTCGCAATTCACGTTACATAACATATAGCATTGTTTTTCATATTTCTTAATTATTTCCAGCGTCGTTATTATGATGATATAATAAAGCACCTGATGCCCACTACAGCAAATGAATCTGCGATGCACCCCGAGTTGCACCACTTATGTGCAATTCTTCAATCTTGATCGAGGCTTATTAACGTCTCTCTTTCGAAAGACGGAGCTCAATTTCTCCCACGAGAGTTCCCCCATTAATTTCTCGTGCGGAGGGGTGCAGTTTAGAATATGAAAATTTCTGTCATCACAGATGGACTCAAACCCGATTCCTCGTGGTTACGAGTCTGGCGCTTTACCACTAGACCACACTGCCACCCTATACAATACATAAAGAATATACACATATATGTATTTATATATATCAAGATACATGAAATTGTTGGTAGTTCTAATATTAAAAATAGATTGTCAATGTTACGGACTTTAATTTCTTTAAATCCACTAATGTTCCTTTATTCATCATCTCAATTACACTATCATGATACGTACAATTTTTTAAAGAAAACTTATAACATACATAACTTTAAAATCAATGATACAACTCTGGCGCAGGTGAAGATCTGGTTCCAGAACCGACGTGCCAAGTGGAAACGGGTGAAGGCCGGGCTGAGCGGCGGAGGCGTCGGCGTCGGTTCGGCGGCGGCGGCCATGGCGCCCTCCGGCGCTTCTGGCCGCCACAACGGTACCACGGGGCAGCATACTTCCGGTACTAGAATCGTAGTGCCGATACCGGTGCACGTGAGCCGTTTGGCAGTTCGATCTCATCACCATCATCTGGAGAAGTGCGCGAGGGCGCCGCGCGCGAGACCGACGTCGTCCTCGGGTGAGGGTGGGTCCTCGGGAGTGTCGTCGTCGGTGTTGGGCGATACCTTGGGACTGGTGAATACATCGGTGAACCTGACCGGCCAGGTACAGCCACCTCTGGGCGCCGGTATGGGGGTAGAAATTGGGGTCGGGGGTGGTTTAAGGGCCTTTGCGGTGCCGGCGCATCGGGCCGGTCTCGGGTCCTCCGGGAGGTAGTGAACGTGGACGATGAACTTGGATGTGCGACGGCGGGACTCGAGAGGAATGAAGGTAGATCGATAACCGGTTGTAAAACGCGCGCCCGATAAGACGAAGTCGAGTTCTCGTTCTAAAATTGGATATAATGTTGATCAAAAGTTTAAAAGCAGCAATGACAAATGTGAAACGTTATAAGAAGATATAAGCACAAACTTTCTCTTTGTCTTGTATAACTTTTATCTATTGAAATGCTCGCTGAGACAAAACAAACACTGAATTGAACAGTTTTTTTTATTAAAGTCAGATTGTTGTGCGTGAAAAATAAAAAACAAATATCTTTTTTTATATTTTCAGTAATTATTCCATGATGTGTTAGTTTCCCCTCTACTCAATTTACTTTCTATTGCATCGGTCCAGATTTTCTAAATACGCGAAAGTCGATTAACTCGTATCTCGAGTGCTTGATTCTTCGAAAAACGAGGGGTTCTGAGACTTCACGTCGCGCGCATTGTAAATAACAAGTCCTGGAAGTTGTAAATATACACGTACACGTAGATAGTAACTTCGCATAAACACACCGTAGCTTGTACTTGCTGTAGATAGTTTACGTTAAGCAGTGGGTTTCAGCTCGGCGCGGCGGGCAACTATATTACGTGGTAGCGATATCGCGTATCGATCAGCCGTGCGATCATTGCAGCTGCATTACACTGGCGAAACGTCACAATGAGGCGGAAGCGCACAAAATGTCGGACTATAGACTTGCATACGTTGTAATATCGTGTCGGCAATAAAACGTGCGAGTGTAATCCGAAATATATATCCTTTGCCTTCTATACCTTATGCCCACTCGGTACAACTGTGACTACAACTATACCATCAAAGAAGACGGCTCGTTAGAAGAGTGACACTTGCGCAGCCCTTCGGCATCTAAAAATGTTTACGCAATAAGAAAAGTTTATACAGATTGTATTGTTGCAATAAAATATCGGAAAAGTATATCTGATCTTTAAAGGGATCAAACAGCTAAATTGTAATTGATCTGTTGGTGATGCATCTTGTCGTACGAGAATCTTTAGAAATCAAGGGTTGCAACGTTGATGACGTAACAAATCTTATACCAGAATGTTAGATTTTCAAGGTCTTGTATCCCAAATCCAGCATTATCGTAACGGGCTTTAAATATAATTCCATACTCCAAGTTAGTTTGTCGATTTTTGACGGAGTTTCGGAAAGAGATCGCTAATCGAGGGCTCCCGCGTTCGCCTTGTTTTGACAATTTCGTCGCGGTCCTCGAGGGGGCCGTCCCGGGTCGACTCATCGTCATCGGGTGCTCCCACGGGATCACCTCCGTCGTCCCAAATCGGCGGATTGCGCATTTTCGCAAGGGCTGTGCGGCGCGTGCGGGCCCCGAGCCCTCTAAAAGGGATCCACTGCAGCCGTAATCGGGGCCCCCCTTCGTTCACCTCGTAGGCGTGACCCCATATGCCGGGTTCGGTCGGGCCGCTGCTGCAACTGTATGACGATACACGATGCAAAACACGTCAATGTGTCAGCCGACTAATTCGATTTAGCCTCCTTTGACTCGGAACAGCCGTGACTTTCGAAGCGGAAGCGCGATGGAAATACACGAACGTCGAATTTTTCCCGGCGCGATAATTGATGACAGGTGATCTCTTCTATTAGGTAAGTAACGAGTACATACGTAGCATCAATGACGCAGTTATTAAATTTAATAATCCAGTTTTGTATACTTGTTAAAACACCGACGTTATTTTTTAAGGCGCAATATAATAATTATCGTGCAGTTTTTTATTTTTAACACGAGGATTTTTTTACGATATTATAATTATCAAAATGCACCACTGTTAAATGAATAGAAACAAGTATAAATATATTTCGTTATATATATTAAAATTATTTTACTATTTCTGTATCAATGCGACATATTCTCTAACAATAACAAAGTCACATTTGAGTCGATAATATAAAATAACAATATATGTATTAGCAATTTTGGCCTTGACGCCAAGGAGCAAAAATAAAACAAGTTACGGCAACAATAATCTCAATAAAGTAACATTTTTCTACTTTCTTCGAGAGCCAGAAATATTTTTCGTAAATAATAGAAATATTCAACAAGAATGTTAAAAAGAATGCAGAAGAAGATGAGACGAGAGGTAGAGAAGTAACGAAAGATGGTAGTTCAAAGGGGGGGTCGAAGGGGGCTCAAAGGAGGAAGGGGGGATCGGGATCGTATACAGTGTACACAATGGCGAGGCAGAGTGCATTACGGTTAATACACGAAAAGGACCAGCGCGGTCGTTTAGCCAGCGATCTCGGCAGTTACTGCGCCTCGCGCGAGGGATAAATCATCTCTCCCGACGCTGCCACGCCTACCCGGAGGACGCGGAAAGAGCGACTCTCCCCTATAGAGCGTGGTAACGTACGACGGGCTGTGGACGGCGATGTTACCGCGTCTCTTGCGGTCGATGAGAACGAGCCGACGGCTTCCGGGAGAGGCGGAAAACTAATAATCGTGCCGTGGACGCGCTCCGGAAGGCGACTCCCGAGATTGCGGCCGGTGACAGCGATCTCCGCCATCGAAGGACGAATCAGTCGATCGAGGGCACTCTGCGGGTTTAACGAGGATAGGGGAAACAGCTATACCAATTTCTGGGCTCGATCGTTTTTTTACGTTACGTCTTTTAATACTTAAATGTACTGCTTACATTTCTTTAACTTTTATATCTTAGATCTCTAACAAATCCTCGAGACATTTAAGAAGCCCGCACAAGAGTTACTCAAGAAAAAATAATTATAAAATAGATATAGAATCTTATAGAATATATTACAATTCATGAGAAAAATGTCACTATTTGAAACATATAATATTAATTTCTTAGATAAATCAAATTCCTGATTTTATATTCTATTATAAAGAAAAGAATCTATCATCTTTTTGCTGTTAAAACATTGATGGCTTTAATAATTGTATATTTGCTGCAGGCACTAAACTAAAAGAAAAATTACTATAATTTGATTATTTCTAATTAATTTGCTAAGCTTATTAGACAAAGAGAGAATTCAACAGTTTTATATTTTTTGTTTATTATCCAAATATAATCTCTGTATTAAACAATTAAATATATATCGAAACTTCAGCTATATTTAGTTACACGTGACATAAAAATACAGATATAAACCTGACAATTGTAAAATCAAATTGTCACCTAAATAAGAATAAAAATTTATTTCAGAAATATGAATGTATATTATTAACTGCACCAAATTAATCGGTGATGGCACAATGGTAATATTTTCTCATTTAAGAATATGAAAAATATTATAAGAATATCTAATATAAATCCAGATATCTGGTTACCTTTTTAATAATTCTATAAACAGAAAAATTTGACATTATTATTTGTATTACTTATTTCAATTTTATACCACGCGTCACTTATCTAATTTTATACGCGCGTATTTTGTTTGTGTGTTTTTCCCATCAACTCAAATATAACCGTAATTGAATTAAACTACAATCCCCTATGATTATTCGCTGGCATTAAACCATTCATTACGAGCGTAAGACTGAAAGGAACGTTTTAATCCGCGTGTTCGCCATGGGCGTGTCGCAGAGTCAACCGCGGGAGAATAACGCGGTCTATTTCCCACACTCGTTGCCGCGGCCGAGAGGAGAGATTTTCCCATTTTTCCCGAAAGGGCCGTGAAATTGAGCGGACAAATCGCGGCACGAGAGAGCGTAGCGAATGCCCTCTCATGCTGTTCCGGACGTCTGTCGAATGTCGTTTTATCCATACTTGGTGCAGTTTTTTTTTTCATATTCTTTAAGCGCGGAATTGCAATAAATTTAACCATGTTAAGCTAATCCTGATAAATTTATAAATTTCTAATTTTTCACCAGTTTTTGTTAATCCTGATTATAATTTATTATTTACAATTTTGTGTAATTTTGCAAAGAAACGAGCAGTTTTATGCAATTTAATTTAAGTGAACTAAATTTTATTTCTAACTTTAATTAAACTAAATTTAGTTTAATTAGAATTAATCTCTCTCAATCAGAAATAAAATTATATCGATATATCTCAGAAAACATATCGAATAGAGAAAATACTTTATCAGGCGTTGAAATCGCCAAATTCTAATCCAGTGAATTTTATTTTCAATTTGCATCTCGAGCTGATATTTGAACGATTTATTTGACACTATATAAAGCCATATGATAATCCATGATAATATAGGCATGCGATACTATAGTCAAGCTTTCACAAAAATTAAACTAAATATAGTTTCAGAATAATTTTAAAACATAAAATACACATTAATCACATTTTTTACTTTCTGTTACCGATGATCTTTTTTATCTTTTATTTTTGTTCATTCTCAATTAGTCATCTTCCGGTGTATATTTAAATATTCAATAATCGTTTAGGTTATCAATATCAAACTTCGCTGTCAATATCGAATATAAAACTGATCTAAATTTTCTTATGTAATCCTTATTCTTCAAAATTGAATTAATTTGTACTTCCTTTTTCCTCTATTTTTATTGTTTGTTTTTTTTACTTGACCTTAATCAATGATTTCCGCATTTCATGCATTTTATAATGTTTCAAATTATCAATGCAAAATTATCATCAAGCTGAATTTTTATATATGAAAAAGACGGTATGCTTAAGAGAATCATCAACGTAATTAAAAACTCACAATATTTGTGGAAAAGAACCGCGGAAAAGTTTAAATTAAATGTCTGTAAAAACAAATGATTAGAATAATCTCAGTTAGTCATGATAATTCGAGATTCCTTCGAAAAAAATCTCAATATTTTTTGTAACGTGCTGACGTAAAATGATTTGTTCCGCGCTCATTTCTTGCTGAATAACTTTATTTTATTGCAGTTTACGACGACTTTACGTGATTACTTTACACCTTGCTGCACTTAGCGATGCGGTGCACAGAAATCGTGAGCATGCAGCTTTAGCTCGTTTTATCATATCGCATTGTATACGAGATGACTGCTGCATTACAGAATACGTGAATTAGTGAGAGAATACGGATGCAAATCGCAGAGACCAAAATTAATTTTAAGTAATTGAAAGATGAGTAAGACATGATTATTGGAAATCCATCAAAGTCTCATTTGTCTCATCGATAACGTTCTAAATCAATCGTTAGATAACCAATATAAACCTGACTAATATATAATTGCACACAATTGTACAATATGATATCCTGTATAAAGTCAAACGCTGTGAATTTTACATTACTTTACCCAAGTAGGCCAGATTACTTGTTCTGCAAAAATATAATTAATAAATCGGCTATACTGTTAAATAACTGAAAAAAGATTGAAAAAAAATAAGACAATGGGAATTATTTTAGACTATTTTGTCTACACTCTGGCAAGCAGCAGTTAGAAATAGAAAATCAAAGGAGAGAAAGGAGAGAAATAAAAAACAAAAAGAAGAGCCATACAGAGGAGGAGAAGGAAAGAAACTTTGGAGGGGACAAGAGCTGGGAAGGAGAACGAAGGTGAGGAAGGAGGTCGAGGGGTGACGCAGAACGGAGGGAAACGAGTGAGGCATACCGGTGAGGGGGCACGGGAGAGAGTTTAATGTTCCCCTCCAGTGGGTGACTCGAGGGTGTAATTGCCGTAGTGGGCGGAACGGAGCGAGCATAGCGCCAATGGGCGTGGTTCGCTGATTACACCGCGTTGATACTGATATCCTGGCTACCAGCGGCTAACCAACTTCCTCCATCCAGCCTGTTCGGGCACCCCGTCTCTCCCCCCGCGCATCTTGCGCCGGATTGTTCTGGCGCAGACGACGACGACGATGACGACGACGTGATGACAGCTACTGCGGAATTTCGTCGACGCGGCTTAGGTGACTTTCTCCTCTCTGTCTTTTCTTCTCT